AGCAGATAAGGGTAAACGCTGCCAAAAATAAGACTGGGGCTGTTCCCATCATTGATGTGGTGTGATTGGGTTGCTACAAAGTTCTGGGGAAGGGAAAGCTCCCCAAACAACCTGTCATCGTGAAGGCCAAATTCTTCAGCAGAAGAGCTGAGGAGAAGATTAAGGGTGTTGGGGGTGCCTGTGTCCTGGTGGCTTGAAGCAACATGGAAGTTAATTAAATGTTCAGTCATTTTCCCTTATGGTCTGAGTGTAGGTTCTTTGGTAACAACTCTGTGGCTATTTGAGCATTGCCACCATCAGGACCCCCATCTAACAGGTTCTAAGGGTATTGGGGCTTGTGTTTCCTTGCTGTCTCCTCAAACTGTATGGTAGGAATACACCAGCACTTTAAAAGGCTTGACCCACTGCCTGACATAACACTTTACAGAGTGGAAGTTATGCCTGCCGATAATATATTCTGGTTAAAAAACAAAACAAAAAAACCTTACAATCACAACAGAATATTGTCCAATATAGTGCAGAAAGATGAGCACCCTAGGCTGGGAGGTATCAAAATACACAGTAGTAGCAACAGTGGACTTGAGTGTATAAATGCCATGAAGATGGCACAGGACTGGGCAATATTTCCTTCTGTTATACACGGGGTCACCAAGAACGGGAGCTGGAGTGACAGCAACTAGCAGTGGTGACTGGGGAGGGCAGGAAGATGGAAAGCAGAGAACAGACAGACTGATAGACTTGCTAGAGGCAGCTTCAAAGATTCGTGCACAGGGATCCCAGATGAGAATTCCTCCTGCTGAACAACTGCTTCAAGAATGCAAAGAAACCCATCTCTCTGGGAGTGGACTTCAGATAGAGAACCCAGACCCAAATCCCTTTTCTTGAGAAAAGAACAAGCTGACACACTCATCTTCTATTTCTTACCACAAAGGGCAGTCTGGGTCAGGAGTGAGAGATGGTCCCCTAACGCCAGTCAGGAAGATTTTTTTTTTTTTTCCTGTAAAGGGACTTAAACCACTTTAAGTCTCTGTGTGGAAAAGTACAAGTTTTCCCACAGATTATGAAACAAATAACTAACTGACCTCTAGGGAACTCCTTTTCCCAGTACCTTCAAGTCTAACTTGCAAGATCTTCATACATATATGGGGTCATCTTTAGACTTTAAAAAGTAAAATGAATTTTGACTACTTAAAGACATAAGGAGCCTGGTAGAGCCTGGGTTACACATTCGGCAGTTAACTTAAAAGTCAACAGTTCAAGTCCCCCAGGCACTCCGCAGGAGAAAGATGAGGCTTTCTGCTCCTACAAAGATTTATAGCCTCAGAAACCCTATACAGGGTAGAGTCAGAACCGACTCATAGGCACACAACCAGTCAGTCACTAAAGATATGTGCTACACATTTGGATATGAGGATGTTGGAAATCAAACAAGTAAAGCAACTGCCAATCTCCTTCAGAAGCCAAGCAAATTTACTTTAGGGGAATGGTGGTGGTGGTATGCTGTGAATCTTTACAGGAGCAGAAAGCCTCATCTTTCTCCTGTGTAATGACTGGTAGTTTCGAACTGCTGACCTTGAGGTTAGCAGCCTGACTCAATTTTCCATTATTAAAACACAAATATACCACCATCAACTAAATTCCCCCAAGCCCATTACTTCTACTTCCTCATTTGAATCCATATCAATACCACTCCAAGAACCATGTATGACACAGCACATGCCAGAGTACACAGCGGCCCCCCCCTTGTTGCTAGAAGATAACACCAATCTGGGGGCCCTTCTACTGAGGATGAACTTATCTCTCCCAGACACCTTTGCATCACACAGATGTGAGACAGCGAGAGGCTTCTCCAGGAAGTCAGGCTAAGACTTGCTATGCAGCTCTGTAAATATTTATGGACACAACACAAGATGATTTTCCATGTGGCAGCATGAGCCATTTTAATATCACATGAACTTAATGAGTTTTTGAGACATTTTAATGCATAAAGGATGGCAAAGAACCTTTTCTGAAAAACAATTTGGCACTATTTGCATCAGGAACTTAAAAATGTAATCATACTACCAATCATTTACTCTAAGGAAATAAACAAAAATGTTAACATACATGCACAATGATGCTCATTGCAGTATGTATAATTGTGAAAAAAAATAGCACACCAAAATTGACTATGGAAATGATTTCATTAAGGTAGACCCACATGATAGGCTATAATGTAGCTTAAAAATGGCTTTTTTTGAATAATATTTAATGACAGGAAGAAAGGTTTGAGATGTTAAAGAAATAAAATGCAAGATATAAACCTATACAGTATTATCCCAATTGTGAAAAATGTAAGAATACATTTGATACATTTTACATGCACAGAGAAAGACGAATAAAACATATCAATTGATCTGCATGGAAAAATTGTAATTGCCTTTTTCTTCTTTATATTTCTATGATTTCCAAAATTTCTTTTTTTATACACAGAATAATTTGTTTTTATAAAAAGAACTAGAGGCTAAGAGAACCCCATTTAAGTACTGAACTACTAACCACAAAGTCAGTATTCCAAACCCACCAGTGGCTCCTTGAAAGAAAGCTGAGGCTGTCTGCCCCAGTAAAGAGTTATAATCTCAGAAACTTTATACAGGATTGTTATGAGTTGGAATCAAATTGATGTCAGTGGTTTCTTTTTTGTTTGCTTGTTTATCGTGTGCTAAAGGAGCCCTGGAGTCCTGGTAATGCGCCATACTACAAGGTTGGTTTGAACCATAAAGTTGGTGGTTCAAGCTTACCAACCACTCCTAGGAAACCCTAGGAACCGACTAGATGGCACTTAACAACAACAAAGGAGTACTGAAGCCCTAGTGTGGTATTGAAGGATAAGCACTGGCATGCTAACTGCAAGGTTGGTGGTTCAAATCTACCAGCTGTTCCTTGGAAACCCTATATGGGGTCACTATAGGTTGGAACCGACTCGACAGCATTTAGCAACAAAAGGAACCTTGGTGGCACTGTGGGCTATACATTGAGCTGCTAACTCCAAGACTGGTGTTTCAAACCTACCAGTCGCTCTGAAGGAGAAAGATGAGGCTATCTGCTTCTATAAAGATTTTGTTTCAGAAACCTATGAAACAGTTCTGTTATGTCCTACAGGGTCACTGTGAGTCAGAACCCACTCGAGGATGAGTTTTGTTTGATCATGTGCTAGTGATGTATTGGTGGCTCAGTGGCAGAGTTCCCTCCTTTCATATAAGAGACCTGGGTTCAATTCCTAGCCAATGCACCTCCAATGTAGCCACCCCCCATCTCTCAGTGGAGGCTGCATGTTATGATATTCAACAAGTTGCAGCAGAGTGTCCAGATGAAGAGACACTAGGAAGAAAGGTCTGGAAATCTACTTTTGAAAAATCAGCCAGTGGAAACCCTGTGGATCACAATGAAAACCCTGTGATCTCCAACTGATCACAGAAATGGCAACAGACATGGAAGCATTTCGTTCTGCTGTGCATGGGGTCGCCATGAGATAGGACTGACTCAACCTCGGCTAACAGCAACATTCATGTACTAGGCACTGGGTTAGGAATTTTACCAAGGATTTCACCTCCAGAGCAATGACAAGAAACAGGTATTTAGTTCCTGCTTTACAGATGAGGAACTGAGGCTCTGCTATTTGAGCAATTTGCCCAGGGTGCTCTGGATTCAAGCCTAGGACAATGGTCATGTTTTTCCTGCTGCTGCATCTCCTAGTAGGCCCATGGGAGGCATACAGCCAAGGTCTTTGACAAAACAGAGCTGTGTACAGCTTGTCCAAGAGCAAGACTTTATTTTGCTTTCTAAACGCCTCACATCTCCTTCCAAAAGTAGAAAACTATCCTCACCTCATCCAACAAGAAACAGAGCCTTCTTCGTTTCTAAGGTTCAAGGTTCCATTCTGAAGCAGTTTTTATTTGTGTCCAGTTCTACAGGCCTGTGCCCTCTCTCAGATCCCATTCCCTCATGGCCATGGTATCTGCTGGCCAGCTTATGGGTTTGGCATCTTGTCAGGTCATAAGCCGAAAGGCTGGGCAGAACTGCACACTCCCAGCCTGTCCAGCCAGCTGGCATCTTGGTCTCTTCCCTGGATACTAAAACAAACAGGCTGTGTGCTCCGGCTCCCTGTTCAACCCAAGGGTGGGGGGAGCAGCAAACACCCTAGCTATGTGAACAATCACAGGAATATCTGGCAGTACATTTGATCTTTTAAAATGTTATTGCAGCCAAATTGTCTACAAGACTACAGGCAGTTTGTAGCCTTAACTGTTTGGCCATGATACAGGTACTGCCTTGGTGAGGGGTGCCCAACCCCCCAGTTGGCTCTTTTCCAAATGGGTCCCCAGTGACACTAACTGCAATCCCTTATGAAGGAGTCAGACATGGAATTTTTCACCACTGATCCAAGAAGACCTCTTCATTGCTTCCTGTTCCCTCTGTGAGGCAGTAACAGGAAGTCACTTGGATGGGGTCACAGAAAGTCAATGACATTCACGATCGGAACATGCTGCCTCGAACACTCTACAAAATCACACTGATGGTCCAGCACCACAGTCTGTAACTTAAAAATAGAACTACCTAGGGACTTTAATCTGGGAAGAGGGGGAAGAGAACACAAAATAAGACGTGAAGCACCAAATAATGGGAAATGGTGCTCTTTTTGATTCGGACTCTGTCTCTGTTCTGTATCTAGATAAGAGGGTTGCAGGTTCAGAAAAGTTTGAGAAATACTTGGTTAAATAAAGTTAAACAAAGTAAGTTTCTGTGGGATTTTTGCAGAACCTTTAATGTACTCCTGTATACTTTGAAAGGGTTGTAATAAAAAGCATGATTCAAACACATCCAACTGTAAGAGTAAGGATTCCATAGAGACAGGGAGATGTGGTCATGGGGTGAGCCCTTAAGGGTCCCATGATAATAGAATAGGAAAACCCTGAACAAACAGCCCCATCAGTCACTATCTTCAAACCTGCAATGCTGGATCAAACAAGGCTGTCATTCTGTACTCCCACTGCAGCAAGGGTTGTATGGTATTTTTCCACTTGCTGGTCAAACCTCCTGGAACAGAATTCTGTGTGAAAAAAGTTCACTGGAGTCAGAAGGTATTTAAGTGCCAAACCTGTGAACTCAGTAGTTAGAAGAGGGGCAGCTCTGCTGCTGGGAGGCTGGGGGACATCCTGGCTCATCCAAGCACTCTGGGTCCCTATGGTTGCCGGGCCATCACTGTCTCTAGTGGATACCAAATGGAGTCCTATGCCAGTTTCTTCCACAGTTTTTGGCAAGATAACCTCCTCATCTGTAGGCCTTAACTGTACCGACAACCCAACAGGGGCAGTCACCAGAGTTATCATCCCCTGAGACTTGGAGAAAGGGACTAGCTTATCCCATTCTTTGTCACAGAAGTCTGGCAAGAGCTGTTTCTTAATTTGCAAACTACAAAGAGGGGGCTGCTTCTCAAGGTCCCTGGGCCAGGGAGAAAGATTCTCTTCCTTGAGCTCCTTTGAGTCTCTGTCAGGTTGACACTGATCAGCATTTTCCTCCAGGGATTCAAACACAACACCCTGAGTTCTTGGCTTCTTCAGCCTCCTTTCAAGAAGCCAGAGGAATCTTTGTTTTCTAGAGGAAGAACTCATGTATTGTCGCACAGAGTCTGGAATCAGGGGCATAGAGAGCATGGGGCTCAGGCTGTCCTGAAAGTAGTGCCTGCAAGGCTGCCCACTGACAATGGGTATCACCTGGCAAGGGTTCAGTGCCGCCACAAAGGCACGAAGTTCAGAGTAGGAGGAATGGTCAGAGTAAGGGATGATGTGGATGTCAGGGTGGGTGCTGTGGATTTTCCGGCTTGTAGGAAGGATAGCAATGGTAGGGTGGGTCTGGTTCCAGTGCAGCATGGCAGAATGGCAGATCTCGTTATGGTCCACGGCATGGATGCGGCCAGCATTCTCCTCCACCGTGAACACATCAGCCAGACCCAGCAGCTGTACCAATTCCAGACGCCGAGGACGCAACACTACCCACGTTCGAAACTCCAGGGCCAGCTGCTCTAGCAGGGACTCCTTTCCCAGGCTGTAGAGTCCTGAGAGAGGTGGAAGAGAATGAAGCTGTTGAGGAATCCCAATAAATCAACCAACGCTTAACAGAAATGCACAAAACTCATGGGGCAATCAGGGAGTTTATGGGGAGGAGGTGGCATTAGAGCTGAGATGTATGAGGAGGGTGGGAAAGCGGAGAAGCCACTCATTTATTCAGTTCAACAAAGGAAAGTGTCTACCAAGTGTTAGGCGCTGTGAAGACAAAAAACAAGAGTGCCCACGAAGTACAATCTGCCACACACATTCACTGCAGCATTACTCACAATAGTCAAACAGTGGAAACAATCTAAGTACCCTAATCTATGTGGATAAGCAGAATGTGTTATGTACATCAATGGACTACTACACATCATAAAGAATAATGATAAGTCCATGAAACATATAACATGGATGGATGTGGAGGACAAACTGTTAATCACATAAGGATAAATAACTGCCTAATCCCACTTTTATAAGAAAAGAATAGATATACATGCAGTGTTCATTGGTGGTTGGTTACTAGTGATGGGTGGAGGGGAAAGGAAATCACTCTTTAGAGTGTTGTTGCTAAGCGTTGTCTAGTAGGTTTCCACGCATAGCAACCCTGTGTAGGGTTTTCCAGGAGCGGCTGGTAAACTTAAACCACCGACCTTGTGTTTCAAACCAACTCTGCAGTCCAGCTCATTAACTCAGTGCCACACCAGGACTCCTCTTTACAGTGTGTTGTTGTTGTTGTTAAGTACCATGGAATCGGTTCCAACTCATAGTGACCCTGCACAGGATTTCCGAGGCTGTAAATCTTTATGGGAGCAGAACGTCTCATCTTTCTCCCGCGAAACCGCTGGTAGTTTCAAGCTGCTGACCTTGCGGTTCACAGCCCGACTCATAACCACTACGCTACCAGAGTAGTAGATGGCTTGCTATTTTGGTGATGGGAAAAGTAGCACTGAATGTCAATGTAAAGAGCACAGCTTGACTGAAGTAAATAATGCTATTAAGCACACAAGAGAAAAGAAAGCTTGTGCTAAAGAACGTGACATACATAATTTGGCAACAACATCAACAATCACCAAAAACTTAGTGCATGGCTACATATGTAGGTGTACAGGCATGTACTTGTGTATGGATAGATACAGGTGAATAAATATGTGCACACAGAGAGAAGTAGCTATATGTATGTGTACATACAAGCACATGTATGCAATGTACATGCATTCATAGAGGATATAATTACAGATGATTTTCAGACATAACCAAACACCTTGCACGATTGGTTTTCTGGTTTGAATGCTTAAGATCTTAGTTTAATAGGCCAACTCAGTCAACATTATAAAGCTCATGTTTCATAGCTTAGTGAGAAGAGTAGCATCTGGAGTCTTAGAAGCTTGCAAGCAGCCATGTAAGATACAACTTGCTAGAAACAAAAGAGAAAGAAAGATGCCAAAGTCTCAGAGAAAAAAACTATAAGCTATAGGACAAATAGCCAACATGAGCCTCTACCTCACTGACCCTGAGTACAAAAGAACTTAGATGGCACCCAGCTATCATTACCAATTGTTCTGATCAGGGGCACAACAAACGGATTCTGATAGAACAGAAGAAAAATACAAAACAGAATTTAAATTCTTTAAAAAAATCTAGACTTACTAGACCAGTTGAAACTGAAAGACTCCCTGAGACTTGCCCTAAGATACTCTTTAAACCTTGGAATGAAACTATCCCCTGAGATAGCTTTTTAACAGACTGGCACACAAAATTATCTGTGAGTATGGTGTTCCACTAAAAACACATCTACTTGAGACTAAAAGGTCAACACTCACTCACTCTTTAGCAAGGTGAGATGATCAGAGGGGCAGGGAAATCCGAGTCCTGAAATTGAAGCAACCAGAATACAATGAAAGAGAATGGTGTCACATTATAAAAAATTTTTTATAATGTGACACCATTCTCTTTCACTGAACAATCTGAGTAGAATTGTCTAAAAGCTTGCTATGCAAGCTTTCACTCAAAACACAATAAAAGAATTTTTTTTTTTTAAGAAAAGAAGTACACTCTGCATGGAGGCATAGGCACATGTGGTTAAGAGCAAGGTTAGAGGTCTGCACACAGAACTACGGGGCATAGAATAGCTTCTACCAGCTGATGAAGTTAGGAAAGTATCCTAAAAATGACAACTGAGCTGAGTGGTGTGTTTTTTTTCCAAAAAATTTCCCCAAACACATCTTATTTTATGATAAACAACCATCATTCACTGAAAATTAACTCAAACCTTAATTTGCTAGAATTCAAAACTGTTTTAACAATCAGTCACTAATAGATACAAAAGCAATATACCTTGTACCTTGAAAGGTAAATCACACTTAAGCACACACATGAAAACAATTGGAACCTGGTGTGGTGCTGAAGGATGAGCAATGGATATGGATTCATTTCTTATCTTTAAGCTGCTTCTTTTCACTAGCCTCTTCCCTACCAAACATGAATGGTTTGTTATCTGTCAAAGTCCTCAGGGTTTGGAAAGAACACTGGATTGACTCATTATGATTTTGTCTTAGCATAAGATGTGTGCTGTCTGGAATCTTCACACCATTCTGGTGAAACACTGCACTCCCTCCTGAAAGCACAGCATTGTAAGTGATGGCTTTGTGTCTTCTATGGCCTCGTGGTACAATGGGAGGACAGAGCCTTTTGTAACAAAGTGAAGCAGCACTGGAGTGATCGCTGCAAATCTTATGATGCCAGAAACGCAGACTTCCAAATATATTATTATTATTATTGTGCAAATGTGAATGGTAGAAAGGTAAGACTCATTGTTCTTGTAAAAATAAGAAAAACACTTGACACCAAATACTGTTTAGGCCAGATGATCTGTATACATCAGCCTTTCATCTTCTGACTTTCCAAGTTGTGTACGTAAGCATCAAACACATCTTTTCCATAAACCAGGTATCTGCACTAAACCCTTGAACAGTGAGGCTCTTCAGAGGTCTCCCCATCCTGCTCCCCCCTTCAAACCCTGTCATTCTGCGACCAGAGAATGTTTGAGTCCATTGATGCAGCCACTGTGTCAATCTCACTGAGGGTTTTCCTTTTTTTTTTGCTGACCTGCTACTTTACCAAACATGATGTCCTTCTCCAGGGACTGGTCCCTCCTGATAATAGGTAGAGTATGTGAGACAAGTCTCGCCATCCTGGTGTCAAAGGAGCAATCTGGCTGTACTTCTCCCAATATAGGTTGTTTTCTGGCAGTCCATGATATGCTGAATAATCTTCATCAACATCATAATTCAGACACATCAATTATCAAACCTCCATTCCCATTCTTTCTTATTTACTGTTCAGCTTTCACAAGCATATGAGGTAACTGAAAATACCATGATGGGTCAGGTGAACCTTACTCCTCAAAGTCATATGTTTGCTTTATAACACTTTAAAGAAGCCTTTCACAGCAGATTTGCCCAGTGCAATACATCATTTGATTTCTTGACTGCTCCTTCCATGGGAAGTGATTGTGGATCCAAGTAAAATGAAATCTTTGACTACTTCAATCATTTCTCTGTTTATCATGCTGCTTTTAATTGGTCCAGTTGTGAGGATTTTAATACTCTTTATTTGTTGTTAAGTGCTGTCGAGTTGATTCTGACCCATAGCGACCCTGTACAGGGTGTAAATCTTTACGGGAGCAGAAAGCCTCATCTTCCTCCAGTGGAACTGCTGGTGGTTTCAAACTGCAGGCCTTAAGATTAGCAGCCCAACTCGTAACCATTACGTTACCAGAGCTCATAAGAAGGTATAATTAATAAGGAAGGCTATAGTCTTTGATCTTTATTAATAAATACTTCAAATCCTCTTCACTTTCAGGTAGCAAGGTTGTCTCATCTGCATATCACAGGTTGTTAATGAGCCTTCCTTCAATCCTGATGCCACATTCTTCTTCACATAGTTTAGTTTCTCAGATTAGCAACAACATCATACAGATTGAATATGTATGGTAAAAGGATACAACCCTCAAAAACACCTTTCCTTATTTTCAATCTTGTAGTATCCCCTGTTCTCTTCGAGTAACTGCCACTTAGTTACGTACAGGTTTTACAGGAGCATAATCAGATGTTCTGGAATTCCCATTGTTCGCAATGTTATTCAAAATTTGTTATTATCTACACAGCCAAATGCCTTTGTGTAGTCAACAATACACAGATAAACATACATTGCATCTGTTTGTTGAAATATCTCAATTGGTATTCCTTCAATTCCTGGAGCCTTTTTTTTCACCAGGCCTTCCTTCAGTATAGCGTGGTCTTCTTTCTTCAGTACCATCCGTTCTTGATATGCTAGCTCCTGAAATGTTCGAATGTTGACCAATTCTTTCTGGGAGTGACTCTGTGCATTTCTTCCATCTTTTTTTGATGCTTCCTGTGTCATTCAATATTTTGCCCATAGAATCCTTCAGTATTTCAACTCAAGGCTTGAATTGTTTCCTTCACCTATTTCAGACCATCAATTACTGATATGCAAATTCAAATTAAAGCTGAAGAAAATGAAAACAAATCTACGAGAGCCAAAATATGATCTTGAATTTATCCCTCCTGA